TTTTCACCAACTGCATTGGCTCTTTCCCTTAAAAAAAAAAATGCTGCTGAGATCTTAAAATGGCAGTGCATCCTTCTCAGCAGGGTAAAACAGCAAGCTGAAGGTTTGCTCTGCCTGTACTTAGCTGTAATTTATGCTTCTGCTCTGGTAAGGGGTCTGTTTGCCCTTGATGCATGTGCGTAAGTCCCATTAACGTTAATAGGAGTTGAACACAAGCATTAGCTGACGAAGAATTCCCTAAATGCTGCCTTCAGTTCTAAAGCCAAGAGTTGGTCTCTGCTTGTGTTGCTCACCACTTCCTTGCAGCCTGGAGCTGCTCCTGCTACATGGCCATGGCTTTGTGACAGTGCTGAGACACTGACGTTGTCCCCGTGTTGTGAAGGCTGAGGGCTGGTGGGAGGTGTCTGTGTTTCTCAGTAAGGCTGAGCAAGAACTGCAGAGAGAGACATCAGCAAGGGGTGTCATCTGCTTAGCTTACGCTGTAATGAGCTCAAACCCCTGGGTGGAGAAAAAAGGGGTGGCAGGAGGAGATGAGGAGAGGGGAACAACTTGTTTCAGGCAACGAATCAGTTGCTAATTTTGATCCAAAGCCATTTGCATAGATGATGTTGGCCTGGGGTGGGTTGGAAATATAAGGCATTCTGTAGACAGCTGCCCAAGGGAATGCTAATTAGCTGGCAGGCAATTAATAATTAATCAGACTTTTGTTCATTGTGAAGACAGTGTTTTCTTTGGCAGCTCCATAATGTTCCGAGCTCGCCTTGCCTTTCTCTCCCAGGCTGATATCATCGGGCTGGAACAAGGCTGCACAGCCACTTGCTTCTCGCAGCCTCTGGCACCCCACGCCTGGTCGCATGTGCAGCCCAGCCCTGACCCCAGAGCTTGGCTGTGCTCTGCCGGCCCATTTAACAGTCAGAGGCTGAGAGGCAAAGGGAGTTGCTGCCATTCTATTTTTAACCAGCAGAACGGTTAAATAATTCACATGCAGGAGCATGCAGTGGTCTGGGCTGCGCCTTGCACTTGAAAGGGGAGAAGAGCATTGCATTGCCCCTGCTTGACCCTTACAGGCACGGGTTCCCAGACTCTTTAACACAAAAACAAAAGAGCAAATAGGCCCCTAGGAGTGAAATCCCTGCCCCATTAGAAACTGCAAGCTCCATTTATGGCTGCTGCTTGTGATAGGGGGCCTAGAAGGGCTGTTTCCCTTCCTATCAACTAGACTACATCTGGACTGCCAGAACTGGTACTTTTGGAGAAAGTATGGCAGTGGTTTGGCTCTGAAAGACTTGAGAAGAACTTTCACAGCAGAAGCTGTTCTGTAGAGCAGAGGAGATATCAGTGTGTTGTTGAGGGGCAAACACCATTAGCAGTCTGCTCCAACTGTGGACAACTGGACATTTTCTAATTCTCACTCAAGGTGACATACATTTCAATGAACAAGTTTTTCACTTTCAAATGGAGATAAAATGAGAGGATTTACTACCACTGAAAACTGATTTGAGCATAAATTACCTGTCCTGGTCTCAAGATGCTTTTATGATTATTGTATTAATGAAGGGAAATGGTTTTAACTGGAAGAAGGTAGATTTAGACTTGATAGCAGGAAGAAATTCTTTACTGTGAGACACTGGCACAGGTTGTCCAGCGAGGCTGAGGATGCCCCTACCCTGGAAGCATTCAAGGCCAGGCTGGTTGGGGCTGTGAGTAACCTGGACTAGAGAGAGCAGGGGGTTGGAAATAGGTGACCTTAAAGGTCCCTTCCATCCCAAACCATTCTATGATTCTATAGGTATTCTATAGAATCTATAGGTATTAAATCTATAGGTATTAAAATTCTAGGGCACCAGTGTAGGGCAGGGAGATGTATCCTCATGTGACATGGGGAAGTGCTGGAACAGCCTCTAACAACACATTCGTACCCAGACAGTCTTTGATTTGTGACTGAATTAGCTGAAGGCCTTGAACTTCTAATAGACGATTCTTGTACTCTTGCCCTGAGTCTGCTTGCCATCATCAGTAGGTAATTCTTAGTGTTTTCAGCAGAAATTGTCAGTTTCTGGTTAATTTGATTTAGGGGGCTGAGGTTTTACAATTAGGAAAACACAGCGTACTGCGTAGGCAAAAGAAACCATGCTAAACCCTCGTCCATTGAAGAGAATCCATGAACTCAGTCCTCTAAGCACGAGGAAATCCACAGAGGGGCTCAACTTCGAAAGACAAATGCGCAGCAAACCAGGCTTCACTGATCCTGCTGTTAATAGGACTGCTTGTTCCCTTTGATTCCTACGTGTTAGCTCAGCTGTGTTTTGGGACCGAACAAGATCTTTCCATTAGTTCAATTTCAAACACATGGTAAATGACTCTGTGCCTGGAGCACCCCAGATTCCCGGGTGGTCTCTCTGCAGAGACTGGGGCTGCCTTGCTCTGAGATCAGGCAGGCCGTGGCTCGTTTGCACTGCTCTAGTCAGCACTCGCTGCATCACAGCAAAGCTAATTAGTGCGAGGAGGAGGAGGAAGGGGAACCTCTCGTGTGTCCCAGGTTAGAGGTTCTCACTGTTTCTTCACACCCCAAATCATGACATTTGTTGACAAAGTGTGTGAAGTCTCGTTAAAAGAATGCGGCTTGTGATGATCCTCAGCGGCTTTAATGAATCATTTGCGGCCTGGGTGACTCAGCCAAGCCAGGATGGCAGCCAGCAGCCAGTCAGGGGAGCCCTGCTGAAGGCTGGGGCTTTGACAGCACGCATTGATATCGTGTGCAAAAGCACAGTGTTTTGTAAAGGCCAGATGTAATCCGTGTAAGGGCTGTGTACTTCTGAAAGAGCATTAATAGGACACCAGCAAGGAAAGCAAATCTGGCAACAGAGCCAGATTTTCCTAGCCAAAAATGTAGGCAAGTGGGTGGAAAGGCTGCACATCCAGTGTTTGTATTTGAAAATGGATCTGATAGCACACTTGAAAAATGTGACCCTACGTTCACTAAATCCCACTTCTTTTTCTACAACTGCATGATATCTGCCTTCCCTTCCTTCCATGCCGTGGGAGTACATTCCTGTGGGAGGCAGATGCCCTGCCTGCTTGTGAGAGCATGCAAAATGGCATGCTGTGCTCCGTGCAGTGCAGAAGTTCAATTTTCAGATAATACAGAATGGGGATGTCTTATCTAATGCTGCTGGCAGTCTCTCCAGAGAGTCTGCACAGCAAAATTCACCTGCTTAGTATGGTGAATTTAAATCACTAGAGCACACGGGCAAAGCTCTCCTGTGCAGAACCTCGTTCTGGACTAAAGTCCTTGAGTAATTATCCTGTAATAAAGTCACTTAAATTTTAGAATAGAGTGTCCATGTGGAGAAGTTATACAGCACAGCTATAACAGACTAATTATTTTGTTACAGCCATGCCAGTCAATTTCTCAAGGCCTCAGTCACGTGGGAAAGTTGAAATGATGTATTTTTTACAGTCTCCAGCAATTCTTTATTTTTTAATGTCCATTAGTGCTTGACTAACGCTGAATGATAGTGGAAATTCTTCAGGACAAAGACAGCTCTCACAATTTGCTTGTGGTTATCAAAAGAATTTGGATCTTTCTTATTAAAGCAAATGTGTAATGAATTGCTGGTGATTGGGGGTTTATAGCTCCATTCATTGGGAACTATGGGGCCATTGTTTACTAAATTCAACTGAAATAGATGAAACCCATGAATTTCTAGAGAAGGTCCGCACTTCTCTGTAAGGTCATAAAAATCCTCAAGATTTTTTAAGTACACACTAAAAACTTATCAAGATACAAAATTCCCTTCTTCCCACTCAGTATTGGAAGAGATTGATATTTCGGCATAGGACATGATGATTATTCTTACCCATTTCAGGGCTGTAGGAAATAGCCTGAGTCAGTTGTTGCAAACACATGTGTTATGATTCATTATTAACTGCAGTGGAAATAATACTTCAGGATAAAACTGCACCTGCCAACTGCATTTTGGAGATTTCTGGAGAGATCTGCCTGAGCTAGCTTGAACCTGGAGATTAAAGCTTGGTGGGAGCTCAGTGAGTGGATCCCTCAGAGCTGCCCAGTGAAATGCTATATGTAGTACACAGAGGCCAACTGAATTTGTTGAGGTCACATCTGAATTGAAGATATACTGCAGTGGGGAGGGCCAGAGATCTCTGAGCACATGAACACACCGTGTGTTTCCTGCATGCCAGCCTCTGCTCACAGCAAGCTTCCTGGGGGTCTAAGGCTTGTGTACAAGAAAGCAGATCCAGTACGTGCTTAATTGAAAGTATGACTCAAAATGAAACCTGCCTGTAGTTGTTAAGTCTGCCTTACTGCTAAATGTTATCTAATTACATGTATAACTTCTCCCTTCTCAGAAAAGGAAATGGGGTTGGGTTTGAGGCTGAGGACTCCAACATGCCTGCCTGAATGGAAATACCAACTGGGATGCACACAAGGGCAGAGCAGTCTGTAGGGCCACACGTTGTGTGCACACCTGCATAGCTGCATGGATCGTTTGTGCTGTCGTGCTCTCCCTGAGCACAGACCATTGGCTGCAAGGATGCTCCTTGCTTTCATCTCCAAGAGAGTGCTCAGGCACTGGAACGGGCTGCTCAGGGACGTGTGGAGTCACCAGCCACTGAAGAAACGTGTAGATGTTGGACATGGTTTGGTGAGAAATACTGGTGATAGGTGGATGGTTGGACTGGATGATCTTAGAGAGCTTTTCCAACCTTGGTGATTCTATGATTCCTTTGTCAGCCCCCCCCCCCCCAGTAGCACCACATCTGAAGGAGAGCTGCTCTCAGCTCCAGCACTTTGTGCTGCTGTGTGAGCCCTGCCAGGCCAGGGAGGGCTGAGCCACATGGCTGTACCTTCAGCTTACCTCCAGTGCTCAGCTCTTTGGCCATTTCTGTGATTTTGGTTCACGTACACGTGGCTGGAAAGGAAGCATGAAAAAGAACGAAAGGACATCCATTTCCAGGGCTGCCATGCAAAGGCTTAATCATGTTGCAGAATAACTGTGGAGTTACAAAATGATGGGGCACTTAAAATGTTATCTCCTTCCAAGCACCGAGTGTTCCAATTCTGCCTTAAGGGGACATTAGCTGATCGTCAAATCACAATGAGATTCTTATGACTTTGTTTGAGCAAACAGTTTTCATAAACGTTAACATTTTAATGGATGATTACGTTCCTATTTAGCTACCAGACGCATTCATTTTGATCGATGCTATTTCCGTCCCTACCGAAGGCATTAACTAATGATTCGTCACTTGCGGCCGAGAGCCGCTCAAATCTCTCTTAAACAAACAACTTTCTTTGCGGCGCGTGCCCAGACGGAGCCGCCCGACAGCAGCAGCGATGCGGGGCAGCAGCGGCGCCGTGACCCCGGGGCAGCAGCGCTGCTCTGCGGGCTCGCGCGGCGCTCGTCCGCCCCGCTGCAATCCGTGCAGCGCCCCGCGCGTGCGGGATGCGCCGCCGAGGCAGCCGTGCCCCAGGCAGAGGGGCAGGGCGGCTGCGGGCACTGCGGGGCTGTGCGGTGCTCTGTCCCCCTCTTGTGGCAGCGAGCCGGAGACCGGGGCCGGAGGAGCTGCAGGGTGCCGCGTGCGGTGCGGAGCTGGGTGCTGGGAGGTGCTGGGAGGTGCTGGGAGGTGCTGTAGGGTGCCTCGCGCCCGCCGCCCTCCTCTCAGATCGAACCAACGGCCTCGGAGGAAACGTAAGGCACGTGCGGTACCGGCTGTGCTTGTTGAAGCTTACAGAGAGTGAGAAAAAAATGGAATTTGGATTTTGCCTTGCATTGTAGGGCTGCGTGTGGCCCGGCGCAGCTGTGTGGTGAATTGTGTGGGTGCGGGGCTGAGCTCAGAGAAGACGAGGAGTTTCAGCTGGGCTGAGATCTGGTGTGAGGTACGTTGCAGAAGGGCTCCTTGCCTCCCTTCGCCCTCGGCAGTCCCAACCTTCTGCAATTCCTGCTGCTTGACGTGTTCTGAGAGACCTGAAGCGAGCCCGTGGTGTAGAGAGGACCTTCTGGACCTGCCTTGTTCCTCTTTGCACACAGCTTGAGAACAGAGGCTGTGTCTTTAAGAGGCGCAATTATGTGAGAATGTTTTTCTTCTGCTTTCCAGAAGTACTTATTAGGTTTGATGGATCAGTTATTTGATCCAGCGTGACAGATGGATGCAATGTTTTTGTCTATGACTAAGCCTACAGAGGTTACATAAATATCTTCATAGTAAATGTTCTGATTTTGCTGTGTGTATGCATGGAGGCGGGTATATGCTGGTTTTCTTTCTTTGTTTGTGTAACAGAAATGCTGAGTTAGGGCCTGAAGCAGTGATGGAGCACCTGGTGGGGAGGCAGGGCCAACCCAGGGAGCTCAGGTGCAGGCAATGAACCTGAGTGATTGGAAGGGGTGGAGTCAGAATCTTCCCCTTCTCAGACCTCATTTAAGGGTTGGCAGTGGGGGTGAGGATATTTTGTTGGGGGTCCTTGTGTGCCTGAGGCCTTCTAAAGGTAAGGAGCTTCTGTATTTTTGAGCCTGTAGTTGTGTTTGAGCAAGCCTTACTTGCTGCAGCCTGGGATCTTGGTCCTCTGTTGTTGTTACGCTTTCCATCGTGTTACAGCTGGCTGTGTGCAGTGGGAGGGTGACTGATAACTGGCATTCAGCCCTCTGGTGCAAGTAGATCTCATCTTCTGATAGAGCTTGCCTGAGATAAGTGCATTCACATACAGTGCTTAACTAACTGGAGTTAAAGAACAGTTCTGTGTGCCCTACAAGTACAGCAAGCTATTTGATAAGCAGCAGTGATAACACCAGCCTTTCTACTGAGAATACGATATGGCGTTTCTGTTTGGTGGTCTCCTGCAGTGGGCAGCAGGTGTGTGTGAAGCTGTGTGGTTCTGAGGTCTGCGTACATGGAGCGCTACACCAACTGGATGTTTCCCAGATGAGCAGAAGTGGCCTGGCTGTTGCTGCCTGTTTTAATGAGCAGGGTACCTGCTGAGAGCACCCCACCTTAGGGCATAGCTCACATCCTGAGGATTGCTTCCAGGATAAACTTTTGTCATGAGATTGCTGTAGACCTCCAGTATCACCAGAGTTATTCTTAATCTACTAGAGTTCCAATTGACTGAGGACACACTACAGTAGCTACGTAGAAATCATACTTCTGTGTAGGAATGAGTTTCTTAGGGCGCTGAGCGTCCTTATTGTGAGGTTCCGAGGCTATCCCTGGGAGCAATTGCTGTTATTGCCTTCTGTTGTAGGCAGACACCTAAGCTGTTTGGTAGTGAGCTTGCCTTTGAACTCGTATCAAGAAATACCAGTTGAAATAAGAGTTTTCTAACTATTCTTAAAACGCTTCTCCTGTGAAACCAGTTCCCGTTCAAGCGGTTGTTACATGTGTGCTTGTCATGTTCATGTCATAGGGCATCATTAAAGATCTTTACAAGAATTGTTAACAAGTCTTGACTGCTCAATTCAAAAGGCTGCATTTAGCCATGAGGAAGGATGAATTTTATTAATGGATTGGGCTGTCAATACAGTCTTTATTTCTTTTTTCCCCTGAATGACTGTTTTCCAAACCAACCAGTGATGTTGGATGGGGGAGAAGAACTACTCTAGGTAGGTGTCCTGCTGGTTACCCACAGTTTTCAGTGACTTGGGTATGTAATGGACTTTTCCTGGTTGCTGGACAGACCTGATTTCATATCCAGCATAGTCAAAATAAGTTGTAAACTAAACTCCAACCTTTTAAAGAACTTAAAATTTAAGGAAAAGTCCCAGGCCCATTAGCTATAAGCATCACAGGCTAAAATGCTGATGCTTTTTAAGCTACGCTCTATCTGGATGAGAGTAAGGTGAAAAACTTGGTTGTGCCACTCTGGTGTATTTTGAGGCCAGCTGGTGTTGTTTTGATCTCAGTCTTTTTCCTGTCTAAGCAAACATTACTAAACAGATCCTGGCCTATGCTTCTCCCACGCTATAATAGTTATGTTGTGGGCTCTCCAGAACGTCCATGTGGAAGTTCTGTCTTTGTCTTTTGATCAAAACTTTTATAAAAGCCAACTGCAGAACTGAAATCTATATCCTGCACGCTTGCAGGGGATTAGCTAATACGTGCTGGTGCAGAGCTTCAGTGCTGAAGAATAATGTCATATTGTTGGCAGAGCTAGCCCGGCACTGGAAACTCAGTTGAGCAAAGATATCATTGGTTTCTGGCTCTACCATTGCTCTATAATAATATTTAATTCTAAGAGAAGGTTAACAAAGGCCTTGGGCAGTTTGGAGGCACTTAGCTCCAAATAAACCCCTGCTCAGATGCTGTCTGGTCTGTCTTGAGATGGTGATGCAAAGGAGTGCGTGGCTGGAAAGTTTCCTGAATGCACATACAAATTATTCTTTGTACTGCTGAGAAATGCCTGCTTCCACTGTGCTGAGCAGCCTTGAGCTGAGCCCCAACCTGAGCAAGACAAAAAAAAAAAAAAAAGGTGAAACAGTTCCAGTTCTTTTACAGAGATTTACCCAGATCTAGCAGTAATTGGAAGAAAGGTGGCATGAAAAGAGCTGACCAAAACACTGTCTTCTGGGGACTGAATTTCGCATAGACAAGCTGGGAAAATGGAAGGAGAGAAATTACCTGGTGATAAGTAACTAATTCAGTCTTGGAAAGTAGTTGTATGGCTGTAGAGGATTTATGTGTAGGGCAGGCCAAGAGAAAGGAAAATCAAATGTCTGGAGGGGTGGTAGTTGCCAAGGTACTAACAATGGTAGAAAACTTGAAGCAGAGTTAGAGATGTTCATAGTAAAAACGAGTGTGAAGGCAGGTCCAACTGTCTCAAGCCAGGTCCATTCCACCTCCTGTTGTCTGTGATTAACTTCAGCTCTGTAGTTTGTCTCAGCTGTTCTTGACATATTTCATGCTGGGAACTCCTCAACTACTGGTGGCCAGAGGTTAACTCAGATGAGAGTTGGCTTCACTAAAATGTGCCTACTTTCTCAAGACTAGGTTCGTGCTTTTAACAGATGTCTAATTCTCTTTTCCCTCTAGGCCAGGGAGGTTAATTGGAGGAAAGTGACTGTACATCGGGCCCAAGAGCCTCCTACAGAGATACTTGGCACAAATAAATCAGCCTATTTTTGATGAATAACAAGGCCCCAAAGGCTCTAGTTCTTGCTGCCTGCACAAATTGCAGGTATAAATTTCACAGCTGATCACAGGGACTCCAGAATTCAATTAACTCTCTGCTCATTTAAAAAAAAAAAAAATGCTGCCTGCCTATTTAATTATGAGTGTCACTGATACTACACATGCTGTTCAGGAAAACTCCAATTAATAAAGCATTGCATCATTAATATGAGTGACAGCATGAATCCTGTGACTCTCTAAGGAGTCTGTCCTGACCCTCTGCAATGACAGACCTGGGATTCTTTGGGAAGAGGCATCCTTTTCAGACCTGGGTGATGCAAAGGGAGCTCTGAGATGCTCTCCATGCTTTGCATGTTGTGCTGATTTGGGTGGTTGTTGGGTGGTGCTGGCAACTGCTGACTTACGCTGCCCAGTAACTGGGTAACCTTCTGAGGTCTCCGATTTTGGGAATGGGGAATGGAGACCCACTGGGCAGAAATGTGCAGACTAACCTAGCGGAGGTCAGGTGAGGAGAACACAGCAGTGTTCTTGCTTGGAGAACGGCTAGGAGAATGCTGCTATGTTCTCCTAGCACTGCCTTTACCACATGAAAGTGCCTTTTGCTGCCAGGAAGGGTGTTAACCAAAGCAGTACAACTAACCACGTCTGTGTAGAACATTTCAAGTGTTCTTGATTTTAAATTTAGCTCAGTCTCAAAGAGCTATCAATAAACAGACGTGTTTCATTTTGACTTTCTAAGGTGTCTCTTGTTTTAAACCCCAATAATCTGTCTTGCTTGTTCTCTGCCTCTGTGCTGACCTTTCTCTCTGGATTTCACATGTTGCCAACTGTACTACTGGGAATTGTCTCCAATTTTTGCTACTGCATCTTCCCACCCCACGAGGGTGTCTCTGCCAAATGACTCTTAAACAACCTGAATGAAGTGTGAAAGTCACTGGCCTTTCTCCCCCAACTGTCCCTACTTCCTTAATCACTCTCTGTAACCCACCAAGGTTCTAGTCTAGCATTTTATTTACTCTTTCTTTGGGTGATGTCTAATGTATGCCTCCGTTTTGTGTGTAATAGTGAATTCCTGACTGCTTTCTTCCTACACTCATACTTCTTTCCTCAGCAGCTCTGTTTCTGACTACAGCGGTCTTCTTTCCAGCAGTGGTGAAAACAATCTTGCTGCTCTAGCCAGAGGCAGATGTCACCCTCGATTAGATGTCATGGCTCTGTCACTGATCCAGCTCTTCGCATCTCCCTGGCAAATGTTGTCCAGATCCTGTTGTGAAATACTGTTAGTCCCTTTGGTCACCTCCTCTTTTTCTGATTCTCAACCATAAGCAGTTTGCCTTATTTGCCCTTCCACATCCTCTTGTTCCCTGTCCTTGGTCAAAGATGCAGCTTTCGCTGCCCATTTGCAATGTTTAAGTAGAACACTTGATGAATTTGCTCCTGAAAGCATCCTGTCATCCAGGATGTGTCAGCAATGGCTGTACCAGTACTCATCTCGAAGAGGCTGGCTGACTTGGTGCAGGCGAGGATTCTTCCTGTGGAAAAATGGGGCTTCTTTCTGTTTTTGTCTCCTGTTGAGGTTCTTCATACAACTTGCTTGTTCTCTAAATATTGGCTTTCATCTGTAAAATAAGGATAGAGTAAGCCATGAGAATGTGTGAACTTTAAATTAGTGTGAATAGTGTGTACAGCAGTTGCCAGTGATTAGGAGAACTGGGTCCAAGTCCTTGTTTTGGCAGTACAGAACGTGTAATCTGTCCTATGGGAGGATAACAGGCTGTTTCTGGCTATGACAAGACTAGTACCTGTTCAAACTGTTCTGCAGAGTTTTGATCATTATAAAATAACACCTTGCAATGAAGAAAACACATTGTTAGACTTCCTGACCAACTGTAGCTATGCCTGTATGTTGTTGGTGTTACTTGTCTTTTAAGGCTACAAGGCAGAAAGAGTGACCTTCCTGCCGTCTGTCATCTGCTGTCATCTGAGCCAGGGACAAGTGAAAGTTGTGAGCTGCTTTCATCTGCACCCCGGAACAGCAACAACTTCGCTAGAGGAGCTGCACTGTGCAGCCTTCCCACATGCCTGCCCTTCTGAAAGCATCGCTCATCTGCAGTGAAATTCCATGTAACGCTGGAGGAAATATGGATATGAGAGTGCAGCTCAATGATATGCAGATAACAGAGCTCCCAGTGAAAGGCTCTGACAATTCCTGCCTGCAGCTTTCCTGCCTTTGAAGCTGGACTCTCACAAGCCAGCCTTTCCAAGGTGTTACCTTCATCCTGATAGCTGATTTCCTACATTTAGAAAGCTCTCCCCTGGCCCTTTCCTGCTCCCTTTCCCTCCTCCTTCTCCAAAACAGCCCTGGCACCACACAGCTGGGCAGTCAGTGACTGTGTGCTTCAGGAACCAGGGGATGGAGAGAGGGCTTCTGGTGCTGCCTGGTACTTGTGTCATATTCCTGGTGAGATGGTTGGTGGTACCTGCAGCTAGAGATGGGGCACTTGTGCCTTGTTTGGTATGAGTTCTCCCAGCAAGCACTCAGCTGAACCTGAGCTGCCTTTTTCCTGCACATCTTGGCCTCAGGGCAGCTTGTTCACTGTACAAGATACAGCCCTTTTATCTGTGTAGCCCAGGGACAGAAAGACATTGCTGTTTGCTTCCTCTGAGAGAGGACGGGGAGCGAATTCATTGTTTTCTGTGTAGCAAACCTTGGCCTAAGGGCATTTGGGAGCCAACTTTCATCGCTCTTTGTCTGTAATAGATAGCAGGGAGCTGTTAGTGCAGGGACTCCCAGCTCCCTTTCTTAATTTCCTTGTTTTGGTTTTGGGAGGGTATCCCAAACCAATGCATTCCAATCATCCTTCTGTGTCCTTTGAAGACACCTAACACACTGTTGGGGAGGACGGGGAGCCCGTGGTGTGCTGCTCACTGCTATGTGCAGTCTGTTCTCTTCTGCATGCAGCAAAAGTACAGCAAAGTACTTAGAACTGGTTGTAAGGGCATACTGGTGTGCCTGCCGAAGCTCGTGTTTTTCTCTTGGGCAGGCTGGGAGAAGGACGTGTGCTCCATGCTTGCTGCTGCCTTTCCCCTCAATTTGATGCTATTTACCACTCCAGAGATTATCTGAATACCCATGTGTGCTTGTAACTTGAACTTTCTGTTGAGTGCTATTGACCAGGCTTCACCAGAGCAGCTCTGAGGTGACAGCACTTAAGAATGCAGCTGATAAGCACTGCGTTATAACATGCTGAACTGGAGCTAGACCTGGAGGCCTGGGATTCTGGTTCAGTTTGGATTGGCATCAAACTCGGAGGCTTATCTGAACCTGGAGATGGGAATCAAAAGCATGTGAGCAGCAGAGTTCCCAGGAGGCTCCTAAAACTTGTGCTGCTGTGCCAAGGCTGTACTTAAGGTATTCACTGTTGTTTCAGCACTGTGCTTCTCTCCCAGCCTGAAATCAGAAGGGTAAGAGGGAGAAAAAAGAAAACGCAACAAAAGCAGAAGATTGAGAGGGTGTGTGGTTAGAGCCTCATCTTCACGTTCCCTTGATATCTGCATGTTCAGGGTGTGTGTATTTTTATTCTACACATCTGCTTATTCTGATCAGCATTTAGGTGAAATAAAGCTGACTTGAATACTTACCCAAATAACAAAGATTTGGGCTTTGAGTTTTGATGAAGTGTGGTTCGCTTTCTTCTAATGTTTCCACAGCTCTGGTTGCAGCTGGGGTCAATAGCAAAGGTGCCAAAATAAATCAGGAGTTGGGCTTCTCCAAGCCTGACACAAAGAAAATAAGAAAGCAAGACGGCCTGTTGTTAAGTGAAGTGTTTTCTTACCTCATGGTGCAACAATCTGCCTCAAAGGAATCCAGCAGCCAGAATAGCACAGAGCATCTCTTTCCTTCCAGCCCTTTAGGGAAGCTCTGAGAATGATCACTGGGCCTTATTAATCTCTCTCTTAGAGGCACTGGGACCTCTGGGTAACTGATGAAGCAAAGCATTCAATCAGATGACACTTTTTTTTTTTTTTTTAACCTTCTTCTGGGGATGCTGCAATAACCAGAGAGCTGTACTGCTTTGAAAGAGATGTCACCCGTTGTGGTTCCCAAGGGAGGTCCCACTCCTAGGGATGTTGTTCTGGACAAACCTAAATACTTGTTAATGGTATCTGATCAAGGTACATCACTGTGCTACTAGAATGCTAGTAAGGGTATTTTAATAAAGCGAGCAAAAGGCTGTTAGATTCTTATTTAAAAGAAAAAGCAGTATTGATCTGAGTTAGATGGTAACTGCTTTCTTTACTAGATAGGAAGCTGACTTTGTTTCTCTTTGGTGGGGTTTAGTTTAGTGCTTGGAGTTATGAAGAGCTTTCTGTTTTTTCTTTTTTTTCTTTTTTCCATGGAGCCTGTTCTGGGCCCTAAGTGGTCATCCTTCTACTGACTCTACCTTGGCTAGAGTTAACCAAAGTGCTGTGCTGGGATGATGGGTTTATGTGTAAAATCTCCTTGATGGGCTAAAACATTGAAATCTATCATGTAGCTCTCTCTTTTCTGCCTGTTTCTATAGCATGCAAAACAGTCCCTAAAGACTGCAAACAAATGCCCTATGCCAAGGCCTTATGCTGAATGAACTTGACTTTTCTCCTTCACAAAAACTGCATACTGTAGTGTCAGCTTTGAAGGAGATGACAGAAACCAGAATCCAAATTTACCATGGCTTGTGGCTATTTCAAGCCTTTTGCTGTCAGCTGAACTTCCTCATACTCTAATTAGAAATCTTAGCTGGCTGGAGGATGGGATGGCTTCACTGGAAGCCTTGGCAATGTACCTAAATAAACAGACTTCATATCCTGCTGTTTTCCCCCTATAGAATCCTATGTTAGTTATTGTGCTAATATATAGGGGATGGAGGATTAGTGTCTCGCAGCCAGTTTAAATGCTATAGATGACTACTTAGGTTAAGGTGTTCAGGTTCTGAAATTCATTGAGCCTTTTGAAGTACCTTGATTTGGTGGTCGCATGTACTTTTTGTTCTACCCATACAATCTCCTCATAGGTGGTAGGCTAATTACGGAACTTTTAAAGGTTAATTTAACCTTTAAACCTTGGAAAACAATGTAGTGGATCAAATTACGTGTACTGCTTAGTTTGTGCAAGGCTGTTTGTACCTGCATCCTGAGACACTGATGTGAAGCTGTACCTGGATGCTGGTATTCTGGGCATGATGATGATTTCTGCCAGATGTGGTGAAGGGGATATCTGACTGAACTGCATGGTAGCTGGCCCAATTACACCGGCGGTGCTGCAAGCATGCTCTTGAAAGCAGGACTTGGCACTGCTTGCTACCACCTCTCTACAATGGCTTCATGTGCTCTGGTTCTTGGCACCAAGTTTCTGCTACTGTAAATAGGGTGGAATAATGCTGGGCAACAAATCTTTTATAACCCAGTAAAATTAGGAGGTGGAAAGGTCTTTAAATGGCTGATTTAACTTGTCTGGAACAGTTATGAAATTGTGCTTGGAGACAGAGCAGAGTGTGGGCTAGGTGTCCCCTTCTCTGCCTTGTTCATTCATACTTCTGGGAGGGGGGGAGACCAGAATTCCTTCAGGCTAAAACAAAGCTCTTTGACCTCACAATTCCAGCTTTGGAACACCTCACCCCAATTTGGTTGTGCAATAATTCACAAAGGCTTTTGGCACTGCCAGAATTGTACTCTTTACCCCCCTCTCCAAATTCACTCAGCTCCACTTAGTACATATTTTTGGCAAAGATAACCGGACTTCATGCTGTGGAGAATATTTGTTTCTTAATAGAACATGGAGCAGAAGTGGAATTGTGCTGGTTGTGTATATTTTGCCTTCTCAAGATTAGCCCCAAGCAATTATCTGACTGTGGCCTGTGCCAGAAAAACACAACAGAACAATTTTAGCAGTGCCAACGAAAACTCCAGAATGTGTTGCACTCAAGAGTGTAATTTTAGATTCTGTTTTCAAGTAGTATTTCTGTGACATCATTGACTTTAGGAAAAATAATACCCTAGGGCTTGCTTTACAAACAGGATGGAGCTTTATGATTTGGCAGCTTTCTGTAGGCAGGAAGACAAATGTTAGTTGCTTAAAACCTCTGTGTGACAACAGGCTTTGCTCCCTATCAGAAGTTAAAAGTAATAAGAAACAGTTAAGACTTCTGTGGAAAGGGAGTTGGTAGGAGCTCGTCTGCTGCCCTCAGGGCAGGGATGCTCAGCTCACCTCCAGGAGAAGCTGAGCTCTGTGAAGATTTGTTGTGGGAGTGAGAGTACTACTGGTTAAATTCTTCTGTGCAGTGTTGCCCCAGGCAAATTTGGGGCTTTCAGAAGTACAGTCCTTTTCTACTTGTGCTACTTCTGGGCTGTAGGCATAGTACAGCAATTCCAAAACTCAGAGTTAGGATGGGGAGGCTCTGTGGTCCCCCCTGGAGTCTCTAGCTGGCATGCATCCATCAGGATGCAGCCCTTCTGGAATCTGTTTAGATTTGAATGCAGCAGTGACAGTCCCAATGTGCTTAGCCCTGAGCTCTGATGTCAGGACATGTTTCCGAGTTCTTTAATTTCTTTTTGAGGAGCTCCCAGTTGATTGTAGGGCTGCAAGGGGCCCTATGTATCTGTCTTGTCCTTCTCCCCATCCTGTGTGGGGTCAGTAGGTGTTTGGAAGATGGGTTGTGGGTCCCTTGGCTGACCTCTGAAGGCGAGGTGTTGTAGTCTCTCCTATTCAACAACTTTGTTCTCTCTGGTAGAAAGTGTTTTCTTCATTCTAACCCAAACTTCCCTTTCTGTATTTGTAAGCCCATCACTTCTCTGTATTGCACACAAACTGCAGGAGGAGGACTTTCCAGCACACAGTCAGGCATTCTGCATTTGACACTTTACGGGGCTTTCCTTTCTTCCCCCACCCATTCTGGTCCTTTCAGCAGTCTGTACTTTTTTTCTGTGAAGCCCTTTCCATTCTAGAAGGCTCTGTAGGCTCAGTGGATACTTTGAGGTTTGTGAAACGACTTGTTTCCCTTCAGCGAGCTATTTCTCATGACAGAGCTGTGTTCTGGCTTCAGGGCAAATCATGCTGCAACCTTTTCTTTGTTCTGTGCCCCCCAGCATACACAAGTGGAAAACTGGTTGCATTAACCAGGATGAGTCATTTGTGGCTTGAAGGAGAAGTGATGACACCAGCTCTGTCAGCAGCTGCTTGATTCAGCACACTCCCAGGAACTCACCAACTTCGTTAAATTGCTCAGATTACACACACACTTCTTTAGCAATCAGCTCCAGTGAGTCGAGTGGGGTTGTTTCCAGGGTACGCTGGTGCATCTGGCACATCGTGGCTCATGTTGCTTGCCTGCAATCCTGTCTGGCAAGCTTGGGCACAGCAAGTATCACCCGAATGAGAAGGCTCATTGTTTGCTGCAGTGGCCAGACACAGGCATCAAGTTGCCTCTGGGGTGTGTGAACTAATAGCTCTGTTCCAGAAAACACGTGAAGCTCATGCTGATTTCCATGAAAGTGAATAATTTGCTGTGAGCGTGAAGAGGGAGGGGCTGTGTCTTCCCCCAAATGTGTGCAATGTCCCAAGAATCTTGGGCACTGTTGTAATATAAATAACAGATCCTCGTAGTCTCATCAGCTCGTAGACTCCCTTGGGGAACTTTGCATTCTTCTGTAAATATGAGCTTTGTGGGAGAAGTCTGATGCTCCATGAGCATGTGAGAATTTCCTTCCCAGTTGGCATGAGAAAGCTATAAATCTGAGGAGATGCAAACCCTTCCCCCTGCCCATTCTTATAAAATTAATGGGTGTTCAGTTAAGCCAAAACAAAGAGTGGTTTCCCTCAGGCAAAGTTGTCATTTTCTGCTTTTTTTTTTTTTTTAAGGCATTTTAGCTTTCGGATAGGAAAAACTTGTTTAAATCCATCTTTAATAATGCAATAAGTGTCCAGGGAAAAGGAGTTGTATATTCTGCTCTGCTTTGGGCTTTCAGCTCTTTGGGAGTAAAGGCTGAAAGACAAATAAGGGCTAATGCTAATGCAGATAAGGGTGACCTTGGCCTGCATGGTGATCTGTGTGACCCTGTACAGTTTGGTTCCATAATGGGAGACTTGCAGACTGTTCCTCTGCCAGAGGGATCAGCTTCTTCACTTCGCCTGCAAAGCTCATCTTTCTCCTCATTTTCCACCTCCACGTTGTAAAGATGTTTTGAAGGGATAATGGCAGATAGTCACTAAATCATTCTCTTCTGTGCCTTCACACAATGTGGTGCAAGTGCCAGCATGGAGGGGTGGTTTTCTTGGTCAAGAAGGTCCATGGGCCAGTGGGGAAGGAAGCCTGTCTGGTCAGAAGCTGGGGGGTGGTGGCCCTCAGAACAAAGAGCAGCTGAAGAACACTGTTTATCTCTGTGTGGCGCACAGTCAGTGATAGCTGTCTCCAGCTTTGGTAGTGATGGAAAGCCTACAAAATACAACTGGGAGCTGGGATGCGGAATTCCTGTGGGCTCACATGGATATTCAAGTGTTAGGAGCCATTTTTATGGTGTGGGTTTGTGCCTAACATTTCAAGGAATCATTAAAAAAAAAAAAAAAAAACAAACCACCGTGGCAATTTTATTCTAGTTTTTAATAGACTTGGAATTTCCAAGTGCATGATGGAAAGTGTTTTTGTTTCTTTAGTTGGGATATGCAAAGTAAGGCCATCAAGTAATGCTCAATGAATTACAGAGCTATGGAGGTGCAGGCAATTTAATAATAGCACTAACAGCAGCTTTAGGGCAGGGGGAGCGTGCTCTGTGCGGAGGTGATTGCCCCTGAGGATGACAGGCACAGCTGTGCTGTATGCACTGCAATGCCCGGGGGATGCAGTTACCTCCTGCCACCAGAACGCCTTGCATGCCTCACTGCATGGTGCAAATGGCTCTGCACGTTTGGGTTCCCTGGAGCAGGTCCTCCTGAGAGCGTTTGGGAACCTGAAGCAGCTTTTTGCTGTGCCGTGACCTGGATGGTGCCTGAGCTGTTTGCATGATATTGTCAAAACTGGTTTTCAGGAATCCTGAGGCGTTTCATCTGATGGTCTACCAAAGAGGAACAAGTACTGTCAGCTGGGTGAATGGAGCCTGCGGCTGCAGAAGAGGGCTGCCTCTAGGCATGGCCTGAGCAGGCAGTTGTTCAGAGCAGCAGAATGGCTGGGACAGGAGTGGCTGTGGTGCTGGATTGAGGAGGCTGCTGCCTGGGGGAGAGGGCAACACCATGGGATGCTGCCTCATCCTCTTGCCTTCTCCCTTTTCTCATGCTTACAACAGAAGGCAGGCTATTGTTCCTGGAGCAAGACAACTCCATTCTCTCATGTGGATGCCCTTGAGCTATCTCAATTCAAAAATCCTCTCTAGGTACTGCGTGCGATTATTTTTTTTTTTCTTTTTCTCTCTCTAGATTTGATCTACAGCTATTCTAAATGCAGCTCGCTGCTGGAAATAGTTGCTGAGAGCAATGTGATATAGCAAGGATTTCTTTTTTTTTCCTCTTATTTTCTGCCTTAACCTTCATACCCTGCTACTGATAGAGTTCTGATGTGTTTGACTGGGAGTATGGAATTCTTCACCTTGAGGCACCAGTCCTGCTGGATCCCAAATGTGCTAATGCTCATTTACAGCAACATCAGCTGGCACATTGCAAGTGAGCTTTGATCCTACAGCATGGGCTTACCCGCTAAATGTCTGCAAAGGTGTCAGTGTCCCTAAGGGTTAGGCTTAGCATATGTTTGCACAGGGAAAGGGCAGATGTCTGAAAAGATTGTTTGGCACTTTCCTGGGTAGGTTATGAAGGGAGACAGTGTTACGTACTACTTTTGGAAGGGGCATAAAAAAACCCACAACCCAAACCCCAAGTTATATCTCAAGGCTCTTTAGGCCTGTTGCACATTCCCTTTTTAGAAAGTTTTGCTTCTTGCACCTGGGAGGGGAAGCAAGAGGTAAAGCTGTCTGCCTAACTTTTCTTTTTTGTCACCCTTTTGCAGTGAATTTTTGCTTTAGCCTGGAGACCAGGAAGAGCTGGGTGGGTGATGGTGAGACGATCATCACTTAAAAGTATTTGCTGATAATGAGTCACTCTTCACGGAGTCCCAATCTGTTCTTCCTTCTGTCAAATACTCAGAATACAGCAAATCCACTTGCTTTGCTGCAGAATTTTCTGAAGGATGGATTTTAGCAGGAGGAATTGGTGACAAAGAGGAAAGAACGTGTTTGTGGGAGGGAATTAATCAAGAGATGCCTCTTTGTGCCAAACCTGAGCATGAACCTCCTGATAGCTCAGATGAGGAGCTGCAAGAGTTATCATCGGGCAACAGGCTGCATATTCTGTGACTGGCATAAGTCTCACTGAATTCCCATTTCCTTTATGCCTCAGCTGAAAGTGGTGCCTAATGCAAAACACTTAGGCAGGTTGGTGAGAAATGGGGCTCTTCCCTCAAGATGGGGTGCTGTCCTACTTCCCAAAGGATAAAGTTGCCCGTTCATTCACTAAACTGCTCTGATCAAGAGCCTGAATGGTGAGCTGTTTCTGTACATTGCCTATTGCAATGATACCTCAAGCTTGACCTGCAGGGATGCACAGTATATCCAGCAAAATGTAAAATAAGGCCTGCATGATACCAACAGGCAGCTATGATTTGCTTCTCTTGCAGTTCCAATTGCAACGATTTATAGTCAATATCTTGATAAATGCCATCTGGTGTGTTAAGTACTGTCTGGCTTGTTCTGTGCTAGGGTGGCTATGATGTCTTCCCTGATATGATTCCTGCAGTAATAGACCGGTCCTGTAGATTTCAATGAAAACTCAATTTTCTTGTAACAAGGTTTAATGGGAAGTTTATTGGAGTATTGATAACAGAAAATGCAATAGGTATGTGTCCAAGAGTTAATATATTTTAAGACATTAGAGCATGCATTGCATCTTTGTCACTGTCAAATCCAATTAAGGTTTTCATTATAAATAAAAGGAGATGGTCATTCAAATGCAGGAGCTTGTAAGCAAGGCTCGGTCTGAAAATAAGTGCTAAGTCAGATAGGGGACACAAAAGACTCCAAATCAGAAGGAGAATTCAGAAGCTGGCATTTTGTTTCAAGAATCACATGGGCCTCTGCTGTGAACTTGGATGTTGGTTTGACAGCCTCTGGGGGCTGGAGACCTGTGTCTTGGGCTGGAACAACTTGGAGGAGGACCCAGTGTGTGGGTGCAGCTGTGCCAGTGCTGTGATATGCTGCTCTCCATCCACTCATTGCAAATCCAGTGAGACTTTACAGCAACGCATTACTGCCTGTCAGTATATCCTGGTTGTACTCTACTGCTTCAAACACAATAATCCTTCTTGCAGATCAGATATACAGTAATCCTCCTTTACAGGGGAGAGTACAATGGGCCTCTGCCGTCAGACATGATGTAATCCTGCTGCATCAGATAGAGCACTTCTTTCTACATCACATGAAATCCTTTCCTCTGCCCTCTTGCACCAGCCTGCAGCCCCTTTCTGTAGGATGACTTTCACAACTGTGCAAGGTTCTTCTCTAGGCTGAAAGCAGTAAAACCCCCTCTCTCCTTACCATGCTCTGCTATAATGTATGTCCCTAGGAATTATAGCAATGGGTAAGGGGAAGTCTCTACTCTCTATGTGATGTGCTCTTTGGAGTAGAGGCCCTGCTTTGCATGTGCAAGACTAAACCTTGGTTGTTACCTGGCTGCAGCACATCTTGCTTGCAAGTCCCTCCAGAGCCAATGTTGTGTAGCCTGTTTCTGAGCTGTGCTGGAAACAAGTGGTGCAGATTTTGTGCATTAGATGCTGTGTGAGTGCTGGCTGTGTGGTGTTCAACAGCTGCCAGCTCTCCCAGCTGTGCCCTGCTCCTCCTGGTAGCTCAGGTGTGTTTGCCTGATCTTGCAGACTGTTGTTTTATAATCCTTCTGCTGTGGGTGATACAGGAGAGTTGTCTCTGCACGAATGTTCTCTCTAACCTTTCTCTAACCCTTCCTGTGGGTCCCAAGCACTGTAAATTCTCTTCCCTTTTAAGTACAGATTGCTGGTTTCTTGGCTGGGGAGAGGAGAAGATGCTGTCATATGGAAGGAAAGCGTGTATTCTATCACTCGCCTAATCCTCTAGTCTGTTAGAAAGCAGCTACACATCCTGCCTGATTGAATACCTGCCTTGTAATTCAATCTAGGGGTTCCGCTGCCATTCATAAATAGATTACGCTGTCATGCTGCAGCGTACTGTGAGGCAGGCAGCTCGATGGAATGGTGGGTCTATTCAATCCAGGCAGCACAGGATGTTGGCGCTTTTTTCTCTCAGCCTCTGCTATAGGGAACTAGAGGAAGAACTGAGCCAGAAGCTAGCTGAGGTGCTAGAGAGCAGGGGCTGTTAACAGCTTTCCTAGCTTTTGGAGATGGATCCCTAAATATTCCCTTGAATCAGAGCCACATAATATATCCTGCACCAGTTAAGAGCAGGGTGGATGAAGGAGCGCCAGGAAGCTGGCAGGTGGGAAACAGCAGTGGTTGCTCAGAGATGCCCTGACCCCATTGTGGGAATGGATTGGTGTGGCTCTGCTGCTCCAGCAGTGACAGCAGTGCTGCTGGCAACCTGACTGCATGGAGTCAGCACCTCTTTCCTGCTGCACAGCGGTGGCTGGCAGCCCGTGCCAGGCTCCATGGGAGCCTCGTGTACTGCTCCCTGTGAAGGTAATTGCATCTGGGGCATGCTGCTAGAAGTCCAAATAATGATGATTAGATGGATGCTGTCTGTTTTTAATTTGTCCTGGTAACTAGAAGGCTATTGACTAGTACAGTACTGACCTTCTGCTTCCACAGAAATAATTGCTCAGTTAAACAAGGCTCAACTCTTATACTTCTTCTGTCTTTATCATCCAGCACAGTATCTGTCAGCACTGAGTGGTATTTTCTTGGTAACGTCAGCACAAACTTTCTGGGCTCAGTGGGACAGAGGATGACGAATGTGGATTTCTCACACATGGAAGACCTCTACTTCAGATAGCCCCTTGCCACTACGGACTGAGATAAAATGATCTGTGCTTGCAAAGTATGTCTGTCTGTCTAGCCTGAGAATGAGGCTGTAGTTCAGAGCAACCAAGAAATAATTAGACTTTGTTTAGAAGAAAAAACAAAAACACTTGTTTTGTTGGAATTGGAACTACGAATTGGTGTCCACTTGTGTGCTCCTTGCTCATTATGGGGACCTTAAGCTGTTCTAGGCCTCTTAATGAAGGTGGGGGACTGAACAAGGAAGTTGGTTGTTCTGCATCCTCCTGTGTTCATTTTTCTTGGTGCTGGAGGGGGTGATGCTCTGGAGGGGAAGCTTGGTGGCTCCTTCTTAGGAAGAGTCTTTCTAGGCACCTTTTTGAGTAGAATGAACTGATCTTGCTGTAGTGCTGTGTTTTCCTGTTTTGTTTTTTAATGCTCATTAAATGCTATACACAATGTGTATTCACACAGAGGCTCTAAAACAAATTATTGTTGCAGAAGTACC